CGAGTAGAGTATTATGGGTTTTCTTCGCCTGTTTTAAACCTAAACAGGGATCAGTTTTCCAAAGGAAGGGCTCAGGCGGAGACACCCCTTATAGATCGGGAGATCTATAAGTGTTGCGGTGCCGCACACATGAACTAAACCGGAACTCGTCAAAGACAATACGCTGCTAGTCCGTAAGTCCACGTTTCTCTTCAGGGTCGAATGATCAAATGACTACTGCTCTGGTGGACCGAAGATAGAATCCTGGATAGCAACTCCCCAAGAACTTTTCATGAGCGGTATGTCCTGGATATATCTGGCCCTGTCCGTCATTACCCGCTGCTTCTATTGTGGTCGAGGCTGAGAAAAAGATCCTCTTAATGCCACAGAGCGGAGAGTTAGAACAAAGGTCCTAACGGCACCGCTGCAAACGAAGCTAAGTAACTTGGGCCACTAATGGCAAGCGATCGGTCACCGTGCATGCAAATTTACTTCTGCTAGTCGCTTACCAATGATTAGAGAAGGAACAGGGTTCTGTATTGAGGTTTCCATCTGTTTCTAGATGCTGGACAAAGATGTCGTTCCAGGTTTTCGTGCTGGTCTTGCGATCAGACCATCTGCCGATTGTCTGGGCGTTGCCTGTTGACCGTGTATGTGTGCGTTTCACGTATCCATTACTCAAACAACTCCTCACAGTCATGTCAGAACGGCCCAGATGACACAATTCAGCGAAACAGCCATCCTAATTCAGTCAGATGATGCGGATTTCTTCAGGTATGCGCAATGTCTTTGGTTGTGAAAGCCTTTATACAAGAATAAGGTAGCAATTTTAAGGTAATTCTCTGGCATTACTTTGCGTGCAATCAGACCATACTTGTAATCATTTATACAATACTTCGAGACAATTGTATGCCGAGTTTTGCAGTAATCTGACCATGATATTCTGTAACAGTATCATCACCGTCATCTTGGATGTGTTTTGTTTTACTCGTGGTTTAATTCAACTTGGTATTAAATCAAAGAATGTAGAACGAGTTTATCTTTAATTTTTAAAATTTATTTATCGTTTTCGTTTATATTTATAATGATTTATAATTTATAATTCTGGATTTCGGATTACTCTTGTAATATCTCTACATCTTTGAACAAATTTATCATACTCAGATCCAAGATTAATGTTTTATTAGCAGGTAACTATTTTTTTAATTATGCAAGTTAATTTATATTCATTAACTTGCATAATTGTTTTGAAATGAATAAAATTTCAATCGATGTTTTCAGTATTTTGCCAAAAAATTTGATCTGTTTAGAATAAGTCCGATAACTTTTAATCGTTTTGCATCTCGAACTTGATAAAAGAAACAAAATTAAATTTATAAGGATTTAATTAACTATACTTGTAACCTAATTCCATTAGATCTATGTAATTTGCAAACAGTTTTCAAGCATCTTCATCGTTCTTCCTCCTGGATTGGATTGATAAAAGAAGACAAGGCAACACGAGCGATCTGACAAAGGGAATGAGGAGAGAAAACTGGCCTATATTTAGGTGTTAGAAACCCGGAAAACACCGCGGGTTCTCACCTGACCAATAAGCCCGTTAATCAGGAATGAATCCGCAACTACTAATGTTTAGTAGTTTCATTCACTCTGCTACTAACGGGTCCTTCTCCTACTGGATTTTGCTCAAATTATAACTTAAAAATATCTTACCTTAAAGATAAAAAATTTCTTTTTTATTCCATTAAGAAACCCAAAGTTTGAGAAGAAAGAAACAAGAACATCCTCGAGATAATTGAAACTTTGTCATGTTTCAGGGAATTTCTTATTTGTATTGTTATCACATCACATTTCAAGTTTAAATTATCCAATTTTAATATTTTAAACTAACTCTAAGCACCATTATTTAAAATAATGCTATTTTCAAAGATTTTGAATAATGGCATCCTTTCAAGATAATGTTGATACTTTGCTATAACGAACTAATTGTTGACCGATACCCCACAATTTTTTCAGCTAAGCAATTATCCTACTAGAATAATTAGTATTCTAGTAGGATAATAGTATATACTTGAACTAGTTTTTTATATTATCATCTCGGAGATCCGATGATTTATGATAAATAAACGGTCTACTATTAGATAATTAGAAAAAAAGAACTGAAAACCGGATTACAGATATTGCTTAAAATGTATTTATGAAGCTTGAATGGGAAGGGTGCATTCTATACACGCCTTTAAACGCACATTTACACACAAATAAATAAGTAATTAAGTTACTGCTCGAATGGTTTACCGGTTAAGTATGTGTTCTGATTTTACATTAAAATGGGCGAAAGGTTACATTTTGGCTTCTTACTTTCGATAGTTATTTACGAATATTTGTTTAGTAATAGATCATAGCCGAATTTCTAATGCGTTACACCTCGATTTAGGGTGATTGTGCGTATTATATTTTTGTGATGTGCAGTAAAAATAAATTTATGTAAAGATTTTTATAGAAATCATCTTGCAACTAGTGTATCTAAGTAATAATTTACTAATACATCAGTAATTTCACTCACTTAAATCCATAATGGTGATACAATCGTATATATTGGTCTAAAGGTGCCATAATTGTGATAACGTTACCGGAAATACGGATAATAGGAATGGAGAATGATGCTCTGATCCAAATCGCTTATAAAAAGTCACATGGATGGGGACCGAATTCGAGGTCTGATCTCTGAAGATGAGACAAAGATGCCTTACTACAGGAAAACAGTAATTATTAAAAAAAAAAAAATTGGAAAAATTGTATGCGGTCTATAAAATGGTCATATTATTATATTACGCGATATTACCCCGGTATAGTACAGTAAATAAATATGCAAGTTTCAAAACGCATGCTCGAATAACGTGTAATTATAGAATTAAGAAAAGCAATTTTGTTTCTGCTGTGAAGTTAAACAAATTTTTAAAAATTTTCGTTTTATTTTTTATAATGGGGAACATGTCTTCACGTTGTTGGCTACGAGTCTCGTATGACGTAAACTTATTCCTCGTGTTATACCGAAGAAAACTTTATAGAGTGATAATTCTATTACGACTAATAATCTGTGTATCAAACATAATTATACAGTGTATATAACACAGTTTAGGTAAAAGAATTCATTTAACAGCTTTTATCGTCGTTCAGGAGTATAAAACAGGCTCTTATAGTCATAAAATCCCATTTAAATTTTGAAAAAAAAATTACTTGGTACGATACTTTTTCCTAACTCATAAATCTTACATAACCATTACAAATCTTGAGAATCTTGTTGACACTTCGAATTAGTGCGCACTAGTGGTCGGGTGGATAAAACCCCAAACGCTAGAATCATTCGCGGTTCGCACCCTACACATGAAGAAAACCCGGAAAACTTCACGTGGCCACGCCGGTCACGAGAAGTTTTCCGGGTGTTCTTCACCTGTTTAACACCTGTATAAGGGAAAGTCTCCCTTGGCAGATCGCTCGTGTGTTGCGTTGTCTTATTCCACCGAAGCAAACGTTTGAATTGTACGTATTTAAAAAAAATACATTAATTAATCGTGTGGATCAATAAATCACACTAAACAACAAGGCATTATTACGTAACAACATTGATGTGAACTTTGATAATTCTAGCGTAATGTATTGCACCACAAAAACTGGTTCCATTAGAAAAAATGGAAGACTTTACCATTAAATTATCATTAAAGTGTATTCATTTAACCGAAATCTTTCTCAAAAAAGAGTAGAAAATAACAGAAAATAATTCAATCCTGATGGGTTCGTCGAAGCGATTGGCACCATAATGAAAACTGATTGATGGATTCTTCCGGGTTGTGATTCACCAATTTTCCGTAATTTTTTAAAAAAATGTTTCTAATTAAGAAAAACGCTATTACATTTTGAATTTTTTCCCTATAATTTTTCACGCAATGGAGTGGTAAACATCTCGATTTCTAATCCAATCAATGCGAGTTGCGAAGCATTTACGTCGAATTTTTCATTACAAAACAAAAACAAAAATAAATAAATAAATAAATAAAATCAAAATTTCCACCGAAACGCTTTTAGATGACATGGATTATTGGTTCCTTATTTCTGAATTTCTAAAAATAGATAAATTTAAGTTCCGGTTGGAAAGCCTTTACCATTTTCGTAACCACAGAATAGAGCAGTAAACCGCTAAGACTTTTATATATATTTCTTCTTTTTATTTTTTTCGCAATTCTCCTGGAAAATCGTTACTAAGTATTTTTTTCAGATTAAAATAAAATTTTATTTATTCTTTTATTTATACCAGCGTATCTATGAAGTACAGTGAAACCGTCCAAAGCGGAACTATAATAATAAAAACCTGCCAAAAATTTTTAGGAAAGCGGTGATTATTGGTGTTAAAAAAAGCTGTTTAAAACGGAAACCGGAAAAATATTCGGTACCGTGCGAGTCCGGTTTACACAGATTTCACTGTACTTATTCTGTTGACGAATCATTATTTGTCAATAGAACAAGTACAGAACTATAAACCGGACTAGCACAGTATACATAAGTATCATATATAGACTATAATACAGCTTTACACATGCAATTACTTGATTTATTATTAATTGAGATATCCTTTGACCTCAATCTTTCAGATAAATGGAGTTGTTTCGATCATAGAACCGGTTAAATCTGTAAAAAGAAAAAAAATGTAAACTACTTTTTTCAGTAGTAACTTTATATTAATAAATAAACGAATAAAGAAATTAGAGTCATTAAAATTGCCCTTCACATCTTCACAATGTCGGCTGCAATTTTTAATTTATTTAATGTAAAATATATGCTCTCCACCTCAAATTAGTAGTGGCTTGCGCCGTACATCATACTCTTCATTTAACAATAGAGTCGTGCCGGTTAACTAACATCTTTCGGGGGATTTTTGAATTGAAACAACGTGACTTAGGGTTTATAGGGGTTGCGATTTGAAAAAAATTGTATACAATTATATTTAATTTCCATTTTATTTGCAGGTAGTCGGTTATAATGGCAGAAAGTAATCGTAAAATCTTGGATACCGAATGTATTCCATCGTTGGAAGACTTCTCACCTATAATTGAATACTACAAAGACAAAAGTATATTTATTACCGGAGCGACTGGATTTGTTGGAAAGGTAATGCTCTAGATATTATCTGGAGGAAAAAAATAATAATTTTCTCAGAAAAGATTTTATAATTCTAATTTCCAGAATTGGAAGTAAATTTAAAATTTACTTTTGTGCAGTTTTTTAAAATTAATTTTTATCTAAAAATAATTTTAAAAAATATCCAATGAAAATTCGTGAAAAAATAAATATTTCAGAAATTTTATAACACGCAAACTACCTTTTTTTTAAATATAATTAATATTTAGAGGGAGAAAACGTCAGAATTTATCAAAGATTTGTGAAGTACAGATCGATTTTTTAAACGAGATCATATGAGAGCCCGTAATTTCTCTCGTTACGGCAGAAACCGACCCATAATAGGGTCAGTTAACACGAGCGAAGAATAGGAGACACTTAAACTGAGATTTCGGCTCATTCAGGTTACATGAAAGGCCATAATTTCGCTAATTATGGACGGGCCGACCCACATTGGGATCGGTTAACAACGGTTAAAATAATGCTTGGCATCTGTTACGAGCATGGGTTTCGTATGTTATGGATAGAGACGTGTTTCGGCATAAGCAAGTTTCGTCGTCACGTTAATTGACTCACAATGGGAACAAGTTAACTCCAATGGGAGGTAGGCTCGTGATAAATTTCGGGATTAGGATCGGATTCGAATCCGGAACCTCCCGAGGTGGAAATAACACACGGGGTCAACTATAAATGTTAATAACTTCTTGTTTTAATGGTTGAACAGTTTTAAGAGTTTTTTTTTTAATATTTAAGTACTTAATTAAATTGAAAAATAACAATTAAACAATAATACAATGCAACAAATAATTATTTGGTGATTTAAAGACAATGACAATAAAGAAATTTGTACTTTATTATATTTTATATTTTTCCTTTTAATAAAGAGTGACGAAACATTATTGTTCGAAATTCCTTCATTATTTTAATAATTATTGTTACACAATTCTTCCATAATTCCCTTCCTGGAGTAACAATTTGGCGTTTTCTGTGTTTTCACCCCTTCGCGATATTTTAATGATAATTAGTATACATATATTAACTGTAATACAGTGAAACCCTCTAAAGCGACCACCCTTCATAAAGACCATCGCAATTGCTCAGAACCGTCGGTGGCCGCAAAGTAGGGGTTTTACTGTATTAACTTCACACGTTTGTTTACCGAAATTAAATAAATTCTGTGAGAAATTTCCCTCCCCAATACCAGTCGGGTTGCAAAAACGCCGATCTAGTTTATATTCAAATGTAGGCCTTACGAGACTTAAATAGTAAACAATGAATAGTGTTTTATTGTTCTGTGCATAACAATTATTTAAAAAATAGCTGCAACAATGCGTTAAGTAATGGTTGTAAAATTAAAAATAAATAAATAAAAGACAATTAAATTGTTAAAGTCGGATTTAGTAAAAGTCATAAGGTAACTTTTTCATCAAAATACCTCTTGTAAGACACAGGAAAATGGTTTTTATGCTTAATAATTGCACGGAGATGAGATATTAAAATGCCGTTTAAGAAAAAATAGCTTCTTTCCTTCAAAAAGGGGGAGAGACGAGGAAAAAAACTCATGTTTTGCAGTTTTTTTACTACTATTATCAAAATGTCATCTACGTAAAAATCTTAGTGACATTTTTAAAAATTTAATTACAGATATCAGAAACATTTTCTGATGTTTATGATTTAAAAATATAAGAAAATGTATTATTAATAACTAGTTTTCGGTCTTATTGTTTAGATAATGGAACTTTTTGATCGCAGATCAAGGAAGAGATCAGAAAGAATCGAAAAAAAGGGAATAAAATGATTAAAAAAGTGACAAATTAAACATGAAATTCGTTTTAGTAAGTTATATAAATACTAAATAATGTTACGTAACTAATTAAATATATATATATATATGTATAAGGAATCAAACACGTGACAAAAATGGAATAAATGAATGAGTCTTATATAAAGGCTTTGTCTTCTATTAGTCGTGATGTCACATCCTGTTTACCATTATCGAGTCGTAAATTATACGAAATGTCTTTCAATTATTGTCCCAAATAATTACCTACCACGAAATAAAAAATCAAAGAATAAATACAAAAGAAGGGGAAAAACTATAATAGGTAAGGAGAATTTGTAATTGCGATTAATTTAGTAATTTGAAGAGCGTAGATATATCATTTGAATTGTTTACGGGATCGCTAGAGGTATTGTGTGAAGAGAATTTTTCTGTGGTACCATTTATTCTTCACACACAAATGCATATTTAGACTAAAGTATGTCACTGGCTCAAAGGTTGAGACCCATTCTGAGCAGGTGGCACACTGACACGCCGGTGACACGTGCCCAAAGATGCCCTTAACGAAAATTGAGTTTAAAGATTACAGGACCAACTCAGAGGGTCCTCGCACTTTTTCAAATTTGTAAGAAAATTTGACAAAAACGACTCCGTTTTGCAAACATTTGGGGACTAATTAATAACTTTCCCGAGACCCTACAAAACCTCCAGCCGGCCCTGATAGATACAAAATTTTATGAACAGTTACAATAGTATTTTGAAATTTTGTAGTATATTCTTTTTCATGACACATGGGTTCGAGAATCTGTTCTATGCATTAAAAGAAATATAGATATTCCTAGGAATGTAATCCCAATTTACTTGACCTTATTAAAGAAAATTGTACCGTACATCTTGTTTTACGACGGATTACTCCTGAAAATACTCACATAAGTAATCAAAGTAATGAATAGTTTGTTCCGAAAGGTATCACATATCACATTTATTTTATTCATTGTTCACAGAATATAAATTGTTCTTTCCAATCTGTGATGGAGAGGCCATACAAAAACGTTAACCTTATTGTGGAATACATTTTTTCTTGTTAATCATAAAAATATGAAATATCAGGAGATAAAACAAGAGAAGACAAGTAATAATCCACAGTGAACATTATAATTGTTTTAAGTAAGCTTATGCAAAATTTGAATTTAAGGCTCTGATTGTTAACATATGAAACTATGAAGTAATTACTAAATATCGATAGTCATTGTATTGTCATAGTAGCATTGATTGCCATCGTATTGCCAAATAAAGCAAATTAATTGTAATAATTTTTCTATAAACGTGATATTTACGAGGACATACTTAACTACCACGAAACCTAGACACCCCACCCCTCCTCTGATTTCATCTCCCCTTATTAACTCATAAACCCATTGCCCAAAACTTTTTTCACTAATACTGCTTAAGACGTTCTAACGCTCAGCCAAATTAATGTAAGCGCAACGATTTTAAGGCACAAAGTAGAGCTGGAAGTCTTTTTTAATGCCGATGATTATTTTTCCTATTTATTATCATGTTGACATTGTTTCATTCTAAATTTCCTGTAGTTGTAGTCTGTGTAATGTGGGACTTTTTTCACAAGTTGTGTCTTACTGCCAAATCTGCTTTCAGTATGCTTACGCCACAACTTTCAAAAGTTTCCTTTACTTTGACGTTTTTGCTGAGCTTTACTTTTTCATTCTGGTTTTACCAGCTTTTTTACGGAATGACATGAAAGCAGTTATTCTCCTATGTTTATAAGATTTTTTTTTTATATAAACAAGTCTTATATGAAGTCTTTCGGACGTTAAGGTTAGCAACTTCGATGGGGCCATCACAACCCATCCAACACGGATTACTTTTCAAATATTAATGTAGATCAGTATTAATTAGTAGTCGTTGATCATCCTCTCTTTCAGGAGGAGGTCAACAACTACTTTTGGTATAATTATATTTAATTAACTAGGTTATTTGATTAAATTTTAATAATAATAATAATAATAATCGGATTGATTAATATTAAGAGTTCCATCAGTTTAAAGTCTGACATTACAGAAGTTGGCTACGGCTCTGGAGGATCAGGGTTCGAGTTCGTTAAAAATTTTCGGAAACAGTGTAACCAAGGTATAGCGGGCCGTTTCCCTGGCTAGCGGTGGGCGGAATTCGTAATTAGCACGGTATCGCCTCCTCCTATCAGAAATTCGACAAGGCTCATAATTCCGCCCTGCGATCCGGGCGGAAATGAAATATATATATAGTCAAACTTCGATTTATTCAATTCTAAAATTGGTCTTATATCGAAGATGGCGTTAAACTGAAGAGTCTCTAGTAAAAAGTGGCTTGAAAGTCACGTGATATTGGCGAGGACTTTCGTTTTTGGTACAAGATCGTGTATTTAATAATTCTCGGATACTGAAGGGTTCCCCTAATTAGTATCTCCGGGAAGGATGGCGTTAAAGTATTCGTCGGCGCTATATCGAGGTGTTGGCTGCAAACAAAACTCTATAAGAAACTATATAGAAGTTGACGAAATGATGCCAATTCATCTTAATGCTGAAAACACAACGAATGATTTAGATTTAAGTTTTAATAATTTAGAATAATCTGGAATTTAAAAGTTGAAATTGGGACATCTGGTTTACATATTAATAGTTACTCACTGATTTTTTGAACCACGGAATTATTCCACTAATTTAAATTGACTTTTATTAAGTTTTATTCTTTCCCTCAAGAAATTTCTAGAGATTTTTCTTTTTCTGCAAAATTTTCTAGTTTCGAATTTTTATTCAGATACAGGAAAAAGTAATTATTACAAGTTAAATTGATAACCTAGATTATCACAATACTAGTTGTCGATATTTTAATATATTTATATCTATTTTGGAGTCAAGATCTATATCTAGGTCAATAAATTTAAGTGTATAATTCTCCTTAATTTATTAAATATCTAGATATATATTATAAATTTCATAATAATTTACACACACAGTATAAAAATTAAACAGATACAGAAAAGGAACTAAAAAAAATTACTATTGTTATATACCCCTATAAATCCTTTTATTTATAAAGAGGATTACACGTTATAGTGTTTATGTATGTATATTAGGTAGAAAATAATATACTGTATATTTATTTTTATTTAATTATTTTAATTATATTTAAAATAAACAATTGATTATTTATTTATTTTTTATATATTAGATTTTATTGGAGAAATTATTAAGATCGTGTAACGGTTTAAAGAAGGTTTATATTTTGCTACGTTCTAAAGATGGGGAAGACATCAAGCAAAGATTAGAAAATTTATTGAATATTATGGTAATGTACATTTATACGTGTATATGATGATATTCTGTATTGTTCTACTTTAAATTGAACTTTATTTAAATATAAGTGAATTAAAAATAAATTTTGAGAGTATCAAAGTAAAATGTCTTTTGTAACAAAATATTTCATTATATAATAGCAAATTGGATACGGATATATGAGGCCTTTGCATCATACAACCCTATTTAATTTGTAGAGCAAATTGTCAATATGCAAATTAAATTTCAAGATGCCAAAAGTGAAATCTGAGTCAATAAATAAATTGGTACATTGCATATTAATGAAAATTGCATATCATAGTTATGTAATGTCTATCATTTGAGACAAAATAACATACCATAGACCCTCATCACCCGATCATCCCATTATGGGCCTGGCCGAATCCACGATGGGTATCGGAGGAAAGATCCTCTTACTTGTTAGTGACAGAGGGCGAAAAGACCAAAAAATGGAAAAAGTATCCATAGAATGCACCACACAATGCCACTTGCAAACTATTAAACGAAATTTCATTTCTGGTGTTAATTTATGGTAATTGTAAACATGTTTTAAAGGATTTTCTGTGACGAGTTCAACAGAGTTGATTTGCATATTCTATAATATAATCACATTTAATTTTTATGAAGTACAGTACACTTATATTTTCTTTATTATTTACAGATTTTTGACAAAATTAAGAAACAAAATCCCGAAATCTTAAACAAAGTCGTACCCATTAATGGAGACATCACCTTACCAAATTTGGGTATCAGCAACCACGATATGTCGACATTATTGGCAAATGTGTCCATTGTATTTCATTGTGCTGCAACAGTAAGATTTGACGAGCCGTTAAAGTAAGTCAAATTTTTTAACAATAATTAAATAATTCGATTTAAATAAGTGTATTCAATTAATGACCTTTTCGTACAAATTTCGCGGAAATCGGAAATATAAAATATTTCATGCTGCATCGAGCGTAGCGCAAAATAAAACAGCTCGTGTGTAAAATTAAGATCAGAAAGAAACAAGAAAAATAAGTATTATGTAAAAATTGAGTTAGTTTCGTATAAAATAAACAGTGCGAAAAATGCTTCAATTTAAATTTAAACATTTTCTCCAATTTCAAAGGATTTAAATTTTAAATCCTTTGCTCTGATCACCACGTTTGGGTCATTGCAAAATGCATTAATATTGTTCGTTAGCATAATGACCGACCAGCGACATACTGGGTGATCCACTGGTGGACATTGGTGATCAGGCGCCCACTAGTGGCCGAGTAGATGAGACCTCCAAACATGTGGGTTAGCATCTGTCCAATCTGTCCAACCAAGTGAAGTTTTACGGATTTCTTTACGTATAACACCTAAATAGGAGCCAGTTTCACGAAACTTCTCCATGGAAGCACCTCCTCCTCGGCAGATTGCCCATGTGTTGCGTTGCCTTTTCCCAACAATCCAAAACGCAGGCAAAACTTTTTAACTACGTGAGAATTGTGCATGAATACTCAAATAGCGAGGTTACGGCCGAAGTTTTCATCTCTAAAACGTGAACGTCGGCATTCACATTTCAGAGATGAAAACTTCGGCTAATGTTTTGAAGTACAAGCATTTTATCCAAGTTTTACACAGCTTTTATCATTGGTGGCGCTCATGTGCATTAAAATCTTAAGTTCTAGATAGAAAATAGCGCGATCTTTTTCTTTCTGCTTTACCAATACAATTGTGAAATACGATTGAACAAGAACCGAAAGTAGCTATTTTGGATCAAAATGTCATTATAACCGGTTACACGGTGGAAAGATCTTTTGGTTGAGTTGTGGATTGCGGCGGACACAAATATACCGGACAAATATTACGTCTCCACGACATGCGCCTATTCCTCTGCTTCTACATCCAGCACGTTCAGAAGATGCCATACAGCAATTTGAATGGTGCAACACGATGTTAAATTTCCAGCGTGACGAACCACAACTCCTTTAGCGCATTTTATGGACCGACGAAGCACCGTTTTTCCGAAATGGAGTGTGTAACCACTACAATGTGCACCACTGGGGAGGGCGGCCCTCCACTATGCAAGCGACACCAAGTGCGTTTTACTTCAAACGTCTGGTGACGACCGGATGCCGGGCGGTCAAGGTGGCAGCCTACCGCTCTGGGGGACCCGGGATCGAATCCGGACTAGTCAAAAAATCCCCAGGAATTTTTCGGGGGATGGTTCGTCCGGTTATGTCTGGAACCCTTCCTCACCACCCGGCCGCCCCGTTGTGGGCCTGGCCGAACCTATAATGGATTTGCTAAAACGAGGCCCTCTTAGTACCCTCAGGGCGGAAAGAGTTACCAAAAAAACCCTCAAACGTCCGGTAAGGAATTTGGGCTGAACAGCCTCTTGGTCCAGTATTAATTGAAGGAGTGTCGGTATATGATACGTATCAGCAGCACCACGTGTTCTCACTTGGCAATACGAGAGACAATAGGAATGCCTTGTGCCATTCGATCGTCTATATCTTTGTATTGTAACACGGACATTCTGTATACTGTAAAATCATATATCTCATATTCTTACGAGATATTCGGTAGTATTGTGCCTATGGATACTTTAACGAAGAGATAAGGGCAAATTGATTCATCGACTTCTCGAGGTAACAGAATTGAGCAGAGAAGGAAGAACTGTGAACGCCTGCCCTAGACGTTCTGTGAACACTTTCGTCCAAAATGGTGGATTTTCTAGCAGACGTCGCTAGTGTGAGAATTCAGACTCCCGTGTAAATTTTCACACGTCGGTAAATTTTTATTTTTATCATTATTTCTCTTTTACTCCCCCCAGCAGTGAAGTAAAAGTTAGACTTTTTGACCTATAAGTGTACTGCGTCACTTCAAAAGGTGACCTAAACGTCTTTGGCAGTTCTCCCCTCACAACAGGAGATTATTCAGTTCCACTCTCGTTACAATGTACAAATCAGTAGCCAATTGACAAGAATCTCCACCTGTTACATGATAGAGGGTAACAAAATGACTCACAATTATCACCCAGGTGGCCACGCAGATGTTCGGAACTTAGCTACCTGCAGCAATTAATTTAAGAAGTTTGACAGCTGGTGTGACACTTTCCCATCGTAAGTATCGGGTAGAAAACGTACTAAATCAAAAGAACCATTCGATGGCTGTCAGAATTACGTAAACAACTCGTGACGCAAGTCAAGAGTTACATGCGATTGCATCAGATTTTTCCCCGATGATTCCCCCTCCGGGACTCAGAAGCGGACATAGAAGCAAACATAGCGGACATCAAGAGACACCCATACCGCCGTACCGTCCGACGCTCCATACCGCAATCCAAGGGAGACTACGATTTGGGACCCGCCGATCCAAAGAGTTTTACCAACCTCCCATACGACGAGAGCGCGAATCCGTGAGTTAATCAACTAACCACATTTCGATACTCTCTCTTTCGTTCCTCGCCACTCTCTCGATCATAGTGCAAGATTAGACAATATTATGTCGTTAGAATTAGATCTTAGGTAGTTAGAATCGTATTAGATGAATTATTATAACCTTTTTGATTTGTATTGTTTATATAAGTTAGTTAATTAAATATGTTTATTTTATGTTCAGTTCCGAGTCATTTCTGAGTGCAATCGGTACTTTGTCGCGATCTCACTGTTTTATGTGGTTTACTTAGTGTTTATACGCCCTTCGTGACGCACTTAAGACCCCACCCGAGACAGGAATACAGACACTTACTCTAAATGCTTTATTCGGGGTCCTACTTAGACCAGGCGATCTCCATCCTTATACATTAGTCAGGGCCGTCTGTCTTGCACGTCCCCCTCTCTCTGGTGTTTCCAGATCTTCCCGTAACGCTCACTACCCCTCACCACTCCTATTTTTGACCTCCAAAGACCAAACCTGACAAGAGCCGCCGGTAAGTGGGGAGCAGCTCGTCGCTCTACCCCTTCGGTTCTCACACTGGATTGCGCTACTTTCTATATCTAGGGATTTAATGAAATAAGTCTAATAAGTTCCCTTTGCGACTCTCTCTGCTCCACACAACACTTTTTATTATTCGTTTCAATGACATCGGAACAACCTCACATTTTGTAAACGGCGCCACCATTGGCAGAAATTTTAACCTAAAAATTTGCATTTGACTTAAAGAAAATCCGTACCATTCACTGAGTATTTCCGTGAAAACCCACGTGTTTAGAATTGTGAATTTTAAGTTTTCATTCTGAAGATACATACGAATCATTTTGAACTACGAATCCTCGTGTACTTATACCATTTAAAATGATATAAAATAGTTTTGTGAATTGGTAAAATTAGAGCGTACCTGTGATACAGAATTTTGTGACTACAGGTAACCCCCGTATAACACGGCACTTCTATAGCACGGATTCACTCTAACACGGTTCGAGAAATGGGTGAAACCCTCGTACAACATGAAATGTAATAAATTTTTACATACTTAAGTACTAATAGTTCACGAAAATTATTATTTTCGTGAACTATTAGTACTTCAGTGTGTAAATTTTCTTTTCTCGTCTCCATACACATGGTCTTTCGCGAAAATTGTTTCAATTTTGCCATATCTCGACGCTTCTGCTTCTGAGGTTGCCAGATGTTTTTCCCTTATTCCATAAGTGCTTAGCACCATATAAGGAAATTTATAAAGATCTTTTAACTAGAAGCAAGCAATCTAAAATTACATACACTTTTTGCAAAAGGTAAAGCATGAATCTGAAAATAATGCAGAAAAATGCTCAGAGGATAACGATAACTTGCCAAAAATAAAACGCTCTCGGTTAATAGTGCTTTTAGTGATGACAAAGAAAACATTGTTTAATTTATATTAATATGTATCACTTAAGAAAATTTTAATAAAGATATTTAACTTAATTATGAAAATATAGTAGCATGTTTTTTAATTTTTGGAACCTAACCCTCCTTTTCTTACTAGTTCTTTGATTCGCATAACACGGCAATTTTTTGGAACGTAACTACCGTGTTATACGGGGGTTACCTATACTTGTTTTGAATACTGAAGTGTGAGTAAAGTTAAAATATTAAACGTTTGTACTGACTTACACAGATTTGGAATTATTTTAAATATTTCCAAGATTACGTTCGCTCTGCGGATTCACGAAGAGTAACAATCTCTTAAATTATTAATGACATTACTTAAAAAATATAGAATGCTGGTGGAATTTTTAAATATTTCTGTGAGACGTGATGTGAAATTTTTAACTTTCTTTGGCATTTCAATGTGCATTTTTCTTTCACAGCTTCTTGTTTTCAATCTCGAAAACGTGCACTGCAAAGTCAGAACTGCAAATTAACTTTTCAGAACTTCCCACACGTGGAATAATTTTACCGTATTCATTGTAATAATAAATCACACACACCTGAATTTTTTGCCGAGTTATTTTTGTTTATTCCAAACGTTTTCGGCCAATTCATATAGGCCATCTTCAGGTTTTAATAGTTTTCGTTGTAATGGAATCATTCGTTCGAAATTCGTTTGAATTTGAACTTATTACAACTTTTATGTATAATAAATAAATTAAACTAAATATATGATAAAATGTAATCTAAAAATCGCGTTTCAATTTAACAATAAAATAAAAGAAAAATTATAACTTTGAGTTTGAAATACTAAAAACTCCAGAACAAGAAAATGTTTATGGATTATTAAAACCCATATTTTTCTCAATTTTATATTTCCAAGCCGTTGGTAATGCTTTTGCATCTTTTGCATTTAGGCATCTGTCCCTCATCTTACTTCTGTAAATCTCTATTTTCTCCATTTCCATTGCGATGGAAGGTGAGTGTCCCGTCCTAACAATCTTGGCTTCATCCCATTTGACTACTGATCCGTCTGCCTGTGCCATACTTGCTAATATCGTACTATTCAGTTTTTTATTTATACTATATTTGTGCTCCTTTAGTCGTACTTTCAGGTTTCTTCTGGTTACTCCGATATACTCTTTCTCAATACCTAATTGTTGGTTCTCAAAGGGTATACTGTACACACCCGGTTGGTCTTCTAAATTAATTTTGTCCTTGTCGTTTCTTAATAATCTATAAATATTGGGTGCTCTTTTATATATTATCCTTGCATTTTTGTATTTTCCTAATTCCTTCACCACTTTCTTCGTTTGTTCATTGTATGTGAACTTATTGAATGTAGTACAGTATTGTTGTTATGGTTTGGATTCGTAGCTTTTTGTTTACCGTAGCTTTTTACAAGGCCTATTGAATGTAGTATTATTGTTATGGTTTGGATTCGTAGCTTTTTGTTTACCGTAGCTTTTTACAAGGCCTATGATTGTGGACTTTCTGTATCCTAAAGTCCTTGCTATCTGTTGAATTCTATTAATTTCTTTATCCCTGTCTTGTACATTGGTGCAGTACAGGACACCAATGTACTGCACCAATGTACTACACACTGGAAAAACGTTTAAAAGAATACATAAGTACAAAAATGGAGGATAATAGTTTTGTGACCCATGATCCAAATAAATTAATAAAAGAAATACAGAACTTAAATTTAATGAACGAAGAAATAGGAACGGTGATGGACTTTGAAAATCTGTTCCCCTCCATAAATCTAACATCGTGCTACAACGAACTAATTGAATTCTTAATACAACAAAATCAAGAAACGGCAAAATACATAGAAAACTTGCAAGATTTGGCAAAACTGATTTGTTTTCATTCATTTTTCAAATTTAATGGAACGATATACAAGCAAAAGAAAGGAGTTCCTATGGGAAGTCCTATGTCAGGTCTGCTATGTGAACTGGTAATAAGGAAATTGGAAAAGAACATCCTCAAGGATTTCTCC